TTCCTTGCTCGCTCATCTCTCCCCACCACACTTCCTAGGGAGGGAGAGGGGAAGGGGACGGTCTCTCCAGCTCCGCCGCCGAGCTGAGGACAGCTGCAGCCCCACCGGGAGAGGCGAGGTGAGAGGGCAGGGAGGACACCGGGCTGCTGTTGCTAACCCTCCTCCCTCCCTGGCGGGGTGGAGACTGCTGCTCCTCCCACCTCAGTTTTCTTTCGCCTGCCCCGCGGCGACGATGAGCGGCCTATTGGGTTTTTCTTTGAAAGTGAAAGTGCCTTGGGTGTGCAGAGGTGGCGGGAAAGGCTTGCATGGCTGCATTAGACGGGAGGGAGGAGAAGGGGGAGTGGGGGGTGGAGATTGCAAAAAAAAAAACCAAAACCCCGTGCACTCAGGGCGGGTTTGGTTTGTTCCTGTCACTGAGAGAAGAGAGGAGGCGGGGGGATTCTCGCTGAGCCACCGCCATTCCCTGATGTGAAGGGACTCGGGGATCCTGGAAACTGGGGGGGTGAAGTGTTTGGGCCGGGGGGCGGGGGCGGCACTTTTGCTGCTGCCACTGCCTCTGTTGCTGCTGGAGAAAGGAAGCGGCGGCGACGAAGAGGAAGAGGAAGAAGACAAGGGGGCTCAGGCGGGGGGGGCGTTGCCTGGCAGTCCCGGGCTTGGGGGGGGGAGACGGATGCCGCGGAGCAGCGTGCAGCTGTGGGGTGTAGTTGTTGCTGCTGCCACCGCTGGCAAGGAGAAGGGTCGGAGAGGCCGAGCCAGACTCAGGGAGGGAGGGAGAGGAGCTGCTTCCTTTGAAACCCAGAAAATTTACGGGACATCATCAATCCGGCACAGCAGCGGGACACGGCGCTGGGATAAGGGAGTTTCCCGCCAAATAAGGGACAGTTGACAGCTATGCTCAGTTTAGTCCTTGTCAGAAACCTGGTGCATGAATTTTGTCTGAAGAAAATACCCTATTTTGTGAATGGTGAACAGGAAAGATCTATTAAAGTACTCTTTTTTTCTTTTTTGCAAACTAAAAACATCTGGTTAGATTTGGGCCATGCAAAGAAACACTGTTTGCTTCAATAAATCATCATAGTTGTGTTCCAATTACACAGTCAGACATAACATTGCTGCTATGCCGCAAATTGTAGTGTGAAGCAACCAACTGCCTCAAGAAAAGAAAACAACACTTACAGCACACTTTCGTAGCAAATAAGAATTACTGCTTTTGCCAGGGATGGTTAAGTAATCCATCTGCTCCGTATCTGGAAAAGAACTGACCAGATCCACACCTTCTGGATCATTGTGTAGATCAAAATATATTGTGGCAATCGCCCCACACTTTGAACTGCTATTTAGAATTTGACAAGGTGGTTCCTGGGCCGCCTTTAACATTTTTTTCTTTAATACACCCCAAAAACACATCTTTCTAGCTGCTTGAATCAGCCTTCATTTTTTCCATATACAAAGCGTTTCAGAGGTTGGTGAGGTGACATCATCACATCCCATCACTCCTGGAGTTCAAGAGGCAATTTCAGCACCATTTTCAAAGTGTGTGGGTAGTGTAAAGTAGATGTCCTTTTTGCTATTCCAAGTGGCTAGCAAAACACGTTTAAAAAAGAGAACTTAAAAGAAGGATCACCTTATCAAATTGAAAGTGGATAAAACGGAGGGGTTTGGTGTAGGGTATTGTTTTGTTGTCGGGTTTTTTGTGTTGTTTTATTTTAATTTTTTTGCACATTTATGTAGAAATGAGATGAAACAGGCAAAAGAGGGAACAAAAGTAGAAAAGAACTTGAATGGAATAAGCATATCCCTACTCATGAGCCTACCTCCAATACCATCGTCTATGAATTTCTTACATTTAAGCTATTTTTAATGTTACAAAAAACTAAAAGATATAAGTTTGGTTATTTTATTAACAAGTTTTTGTTAATGAAACAGGGGAATGAATGTGCCGCTGGTGTTGTGGAGACCTGATTAGGTTCTCTAACAATGCTGCCAGTGTAGACATAGAGACAGAGCTGGCTTCCAGGACTGCTGAAGGGTCTGGTTCCAGCATCTCTAGAAAACTATATGGTGTATCCAGCCTGAGCCTGATGCCCACTTAACAAGCTTTTTATACTGCTGTAAACCTTTGTTTCACTGACAAAGCTTCTAACCTAACACAGCTACAACATTTCACTTCAAAGGCCACATCCTTGGAAAGCAACCATCTGTCTACAACTCACTTCATATTCAGTGTTTATCTTATGCTCCTCAACACCACCACCACCATTTCTGACATCACTGGACAAACACTTGTCAAAGCATACAGCACAGATGTAACAAGGCTCGAAGAAAAGCACTCCAGATAACACTAAAAAAAGCCCGTTTGGACAAACACTGGGAACATGAACACCGTGGAATATCTAGGTACGCCAATACCGGCAAGTTGAGCAGAAATAAAATAGCATATTTCTGTGACCGGCAAACTTACATACTAGATCTCACCTTTTCTTAAAAGATATTAAAACAGATTCAACTTCTTCTGACCAATGTGAATTATTCCATGCAGTGGCGTAGCGTGGGTTGTCAGCACCCGGGGCAAGGCAAATAATTTGCGCCCCCTAACCTGTGGATTTGCACCCCCTAACCCGTGGATTTGCGCCCCCTAACCTGTGGATTTGCCCTAACCCCAGATGTTGCGCCCGGTGCGGCCGGCCCCCCCTGCACCCCCCACGCTACGCCACTGATTCCATGGTCCAGATTTGCTTAGACATCATTCTACACACACTCTCTATATATAGATAGATATAGATATAGATATGGTTGGACAGTGTTCTCGAAGCTACAAACATGAGTCTGACCAAACTGCGGGAGACAGTGGAAGACAGAAGTGCCTGGCGTGCTCTGGTCCATGGGGTCACGAAGAGTCGGACACGACTAAACGACTAAACAACAACAACAGATATAGATATAGATATATTGATATAGGTAGATATGATACCCAGAGGTTGGTTAAAGTCAGTATTCAGGTGTATTTTAAACTGGTGGGAAAAGATCAACGCTGTAGGTGCCTGATGCAGTGCTGCGTATCTGAAGCAAGCTCACTCCATAAAGGGAGAGCCACCCTAATGAAAGCCCTCTTCCAAGTTGTTGTGAGATGGATTTCTGCCAGTGGATAATAGGGCCTCCTCTGACGATCTTAGTAAACAGGCAGGTCTGTACCAAAAGAAGCGTTCTATCAGATTGCCTAGTTTCAAGCTGTTTAGAGCTTATAAATCCCTAACAAGACGTTAAACTTGGCTCGGGAGCAAATAGGCAACCAGTGCAATTCTTTTAGCATACAAGTTACCTGTGTGTGGCAGAGTGCGCCACTAAGCAACCTAGTCCCCACATTTTGCACCAGCTGCAGTTTTCAAACTAACCTTACCAGCAGCCCCGGAGAGCTCATTGCCATAGTCCAGCCTAGAAGTTGCCAATGTGTGAGTCACTGTAGCTAAACAGTTACAGCCATACCAGCTGAACCTAGTAAAACGTGCTCCAAACCACTAAGGCCATCTGGTTCCCCAGTGACTGCATACCCATTCCTTCAGAGAGTGTGCAACTCCACCTAAAACAGATTAACTTTCCAGTTCCCAAACTTGAGGACAACTCACTCACAGACCTATTTTGCCAGGATTCAGTTTAAGTTTATTGGCCCTAATCCATCCCATCACTGCATCCAGACGTATTATTTTAGTCCTCTGTTTCTTTAAACTCTGGATCTGTGAACGTGAATGTTATGTCAAGAAAAGAAGGAAGGACAGGATCCAAGATGCTGAACTTATGCTCATAATATATTTTTACTCCTGAATCATTCTGTATGCTGTCTGCAGCAAAATAAAATTAGTAATACTTGCTTAGCTTACAACGTTGTTGAAAATATTACTGAGATCATGCATATGCGAGAGGCCAAGTTACAGGGAACAAGGCAGAGGGCCTTCTCGGTAGTGGCGCCCGCCATGTGGAACGCCCTCCCATCAGATGTCAAAGCGATAAACATCTACCTGACATTCAGAAGACATCTGAAGGCAGCCCTGCTCAGGGAAGTTTTTAATATGTGAAATTTTAGTGTATCTTTCATCTTGTTGGAAGCCGCCCAGAGTGGCTGGGGAAACCCAGTCAGATGGGCGGGGTACAAATAATATATTATTATTATTATTATTATTATTATTATTATTATTATTATTAGAAGCTCTTTGCACACTCTGAAGTGCTACAGAAATATTCTTCTTATTATGACTCAGTATTGCCACATACACAGCAGAAACAATTGCTACAGATAGTGAAAGACACATGCTAACATGGTGATAGAAACAGGAAAAACAAGGTCCTAATGAATGGCCTTGCTTGCACATCACATAAACCATAGTTTAAAATACTATAGTTTAAAATACTATGGTTTAATGTAAAAAAAAGCAGACTGCTACTGTACGGTGATCAAAAGTTCCCATAGTGCTCCGCCGCTGCAGACACAGGTTAGAGTATGGCTTGTGTTCTCCAAATCCAGGAGCAGGTTTGTGTCCTCCAAAAAACTCACAAATGGAAACCAATGCTTATTCTTATCTTACAGCTCATTGTTTGTTTGGATGAAACAAACCATGAGCCTCAGTTAATATGGCACAGCATGCCAGGTTTGTCTTTCCACAACACAACAGCAGTAAGAGCAGTGGAGTGGAGCAAGACATTTTCAGCAATGTGCACCAACTTACTGCTCATTCACATTAAACCTTAATTTGTTTTAAACTATTGACATGTGAACTGGGCCGATGCCTGTGACTACTAGTTCCTGCAGATAAGCTGATGTTAAATAACTGCTGACCTGATTAGTGGCCTGCATTTGGGGGCAGGAGAGAAGGACTACTGGGATCTATATAAGATCACAACATATTAAATATTTCTAAAAGAAATTACGTAAAACCAAGGGGGAAAAATAATACTATGATATTCAAATTATCTCACTATTTCATTAATTAATTTCCTTTGTTACTTACCCACTTTGGGTATAATGCTGGTCCTTTTCTTTTCCTCTAGCCCGCTCCTTCTCTCTTGTCTTCTCTTTATCTCTGCCTTTACGTCTTTCTTTATCACGAGATCTGCTGCGTGTTCTTCTGTGACTGGTCCTTTCACTGCTTCGGCTATAAGACCGTTGTTGAGGTCTGGAGTGGGACCTATAAGGTTGAACAGTAAGCAAAGTGGGTTTATTTGTTTCTTCCAGTGATGAACCCACACCTTTGGAACTCTCTTCCCAGGAAGATACATATGGCTCCATCACTGCTGGTTTTTTAAAAAGCTACTGGGCTTAACTGCAATTACTGTATTTTCAGGAATGCTAGACTCCTGCAAAAAACTACCTTGTGAGAGTGTTGTACCCTGAAAGGGGTCTTAAAATTATTTAAATAAACGAACTATGGTTTGCACATATCACACTTTTCCAGTTTAGAGCAAAACAGCAAAATATGGCTTGTTGCTGTATCAGGAATGCAAGTATTTTATTGCAACCTATGAGGGAGTAGAAGGAGGAAGCATGTGATTTCAAGGCTGCTCATAATGCTAAACCATTTTTTGCATTACTTTTTAATGGAGCTCTTAAGTTATTCTCCATGAGCACAGACAGTATAATGCAGAACACTAGCTGCTAGGAAGAAGAGATGGTGACAATCGCACTTTAATCATTTATTTTGTACAAACTTTCAAAAAACCCTTGATTTCACAGTGCAGATATAAAACCCTGTATGCTTCCTATTAGAAATCCTGACTTTAAGCATATACAAATGTAATGCAATACACTCATTTAATCTACTAAAACCTGAAGATTGATTAAAATTTCTTAAACAGAATGGTGGTCCTAATGAAGCAGCAACCACCGACAGTTGCCTTAGATCCTTTCAAACAGATGATGAGGAATGTTCTGCAATGAATTCAATGAACTGCCACTCCATACAGCTATAGCTTTAGTGAAAAATGCTGATGTTGCAGATTCTAAATCAGTTTAGAACCAGTCTTCTATAATCCACTCAATGTGGCATTGTCTTTATTGGAAGGTGTTGCATGGTTCACTTTATGCCACTAGGAGGTTATCGCACCAATATACCAGGTTCACACTTCCCCAAAATTTTCTGGAAACATTTCAAGTGCTGCTTCTTATTGTAAAGCTTCCACATACAAAACTTAGAAAGATAACTTTTTCCCTTAGGGTACAAGCTTACGCTGCATTCAGACGCACTAAATCATGGTATAGTGCTGTAAGAATGAATGTGCAAGAGTAAGTCTTAGACCTAAAGACTCTTCCCTTTCTTGCTTTTTCATACACAAGACAATGAGATCTAAAGTCTACATTTGCAGTGTATCACAAACTGCAATTTCCCATTTTGTCCAAAGCCTGGTTTGTTAACAAACCGCAGTTGTTGTTTTTTTACAAACCACAGTTCTAGGAAACTACATTTTGTTTACAAACTGCAAATGAAAGATTAGAACTGCATGTGAAGGAGGAACCGTAGCACTAACCTGTGGTTTAATATTACATCTGAATGCAACTTTAGTCTCATAGCTACAACAGGCCCTCCAAGTGTCCCTATTTTCCAGGGATATCCCTGATTTAGAGAAGCTGTCCCGGTTTCTGATTTGATCCCAGAATGTCCCACTTTTCCGTAGATTGTCCTTATTTTCACTGGATAGTTGTTGGAGGGAATGGTAGGGTGTCCCTATTTTCAATGGAGAAATGTTGGAGGGTATGGAGTTATGCAAGCACTGAGCCATCTGAAGGCAATCCTGTATAGCAGGGGTTGTCAACCTGGTCCCTACTGTCCACTAGTGGGTGTTTCAGGATTCTAGGTGGGCGGTAGGGGGTTCTACGGCACAAGCTGAATCCTCCTTCCATTGAGCACTGGTGGGCGGTAAGGAAATTTTACCATCAAGAAAGATGCATTAGCGGGTGGTAGGTATAAAAAGGTTGACTACCCCTGCTGTATAGGGGAGGTTTTTTTAACGTTTAATGTTTTATTGTGTTTTTATATACAGTGGTACCTCGGGTTAAGTACTTAATTTGTTCCGGAGGTCCGTTCTTAACCTGAAACTGTTCTTAACCTGAAGCACCACTTTAGCTAATGGGGCCTCCTGTTACCACTGCGCCGCCGGAGCATGATTTCTGTTCTCATCCTGAAGCAAAGTTCTTAACCTGAAGCACTATTTCGGGGTTACCTGAAGCGTATGTAACCTGAAGCGTATGTAACCTGAGGTACCACTGTATGTTGGAAGCTGCCCTCAGTGCTGGGGCAAACCAATAAGATGTGTAGGGTATAAATAGTAAAAGAATCATTATGGAATAGGATGTCCCTATTTTCATCGGTGAAATGTTGGAGGGTATGCAACAAATGTCCACTTTATACAGCAAGGATAGGGAAACAGGCCTGGCAGCCAAGTGTGACCATCCAGGCCTCAAGGATTCTGCCTAGGCCACAAATACCCTGACCAGGCTACACTTCTCACTGGCCCTACTCCAAACCCTCCACTGAGGGCTTTTGCTGGCTTGGAAGGTGTTCTTAAACTGTGATGATGCCTGGATGGATAGTTGTGCGAGAGGGTATGCATAGAATTTCCTGGCTTTAGTGTGGCTAGAATACAACCTGGCTGTACAAAGGGAAAAGTTGTGTCCTTTGTTACACTCATTTTTGTTTGTATCCACATCTACTTTTGCTTCCAGCTGCACCCACCACTGCCATAAGCACACTCCAGGCTCATGTTGCAAAATGTTCCCCACCCCATTATACATTATGTTAGCCAATGCCAGCACAGTTCAGGTTATGAGATACTGGTCTCTAAAACCATGCTATAATCCCATGAGGCATGGATTCGCTAGTCCAGTTTGAGGCACTTGGGACTCATGCTGCAGAAGCATTTGGCGCTGTAAAATTCTGATTCACAATGGTTAGTGTTGCACTATGACCTGGGGTTCAAATCTCCTCTCAGCCATGAAGCTCACTGGGTGACCTTGGCCAATCACCATACTTTAGTCTACCCTACCTCAAAGAGTTGTTGTGAAGATGAAATGGGGAGCAGTAGGGCTGGGCGATATCAGTTTTTCAACATGGCGGTGTTTCACCAGCCAAACATTGTGGTTTGGCAATATGCCGCGATACTGAAAAAACCAAGCTGCACTGGCCTCTGCCCACAAAGCAGCTGGTGAAACTTCCCCAGCTCTCACTCACGGTCTGGGACAACACAGCTTGTTTGCACAGCTCAGCTGGGGATCGGGAAGGTTCCCCCTTCCCAGCAGAGACAGCCCCAGCACTCCTGCTGCTTGCACCAAATCTGTAACAGGGCAGGCGACATCATTGGTTGTCCTACATCTACTGAATCCCATTCCTACTGAGACCACCAAAGTATAGACCTCTCCTTTTTACTAGGAGGAAAAATAACATAGGGCTAACGGCTAAGGAGAGATGAGAATTTACCTTGAAATGAAAGTGGGGTATGCTTATTCCTATGTTGATTTCAATGAGTCTAATCCACATATAATTTATTAAAGATAGCATCCTGAATTTTTAACAAGATTCTATTACGTATATTTTCAGTTACAATCGAATGACAAAGTAGTTTTATCACAGAAAGGAAGACAAAAAAGGAAGTGATGGTGTAGAAGAAATTAACATGGAAAATGGGCTACCAGACCTGGCCCCTCCAAAAAAAGGGGAAAAAGCTTTCAGAGCACCATAGCACACACCCATCATGCCAAAGGTTAAGTCATTTAGTCAAGTTCAAAGATCTTCAAAGACTTCTTAGATCCAGATAAGCCCATATGCTACAAAAATCCTATGAAAAAGCCATTTCTTTCCAATCTTTTTATGTCTAACTTACAGAACACACACAGATGCTTGGCATCACTCAGCATCCCGGAATTTCACACCAGATAATAAGAGTTCACCAAAATATTTCCTGTCTAACTCCTAAGCAATGTCTTTATTCCTTCAGCACTTTGCCCACTTGCTTTAAAAAAAACCCTGAAAACCCTGAAAATATCTATAAAAGACTATTCAGTTACTGCACAATAAGTGCTAATTTGCTAATTTCTTCACAGGTAATCAATTAAAATGTAAAATATTGGATAAAATGACTTGCACTAAATTTAACAGCTGCTCCATAAGCATAATTAGTTTCACAAGAGCCATATGTAATCCAAACAGAGACAGAGTTGAAACAAATAAAGCAGATTTTAAAACTAGTTTGAGGAAATCTGCATTTAATTAGCAGGTGGGCACTACAACTGCATACTGTTTTTATACATTTGTATTTATGAAGTGACAGAAGATCTAAGGGCTTTTTAAAATGGCGTTTATTGTTTGAATGAGAACTGTTTTGCTGCATACTAAAGTGATTTAAGCCCTCATAGCTCTGCTTTGAAAAAAAACATAAATGGTGAAAGAAAACATGTGGAAAACTGTAAAACTAGAAAGAATTTGCGACAAAAAACAGATACACATACCATATCCAAAAGGAAACTACACTTAATTAAATATACACTACATCTGGAATATCAGCCTAATAAAATGTGAAACTACTAATTTTCATTGTTCTCTAGGAAATGAGGTCAGTGTCATTTAGCATTACCCCAATTATATTGCTCCAACACACTAAAATGCCATCTAATCTTCTTTTTTTAATAGTTAAAAAATCAACAAGCATACACTTTTCAAAAGTAGAAAAATAGTTTGGGTCTTCTTTTCACCCCACTCTATCAGGCAGCTTAAGCAAATGATATCACACATGAGGACTAGTCTTAAGATGGCATGTGCTAAAGTTTAATGACTTATGAACACTGGAAAACAGCACCCACCCATGAATTGGCTTTTCAATAATGTCAAGTTTTTATGGACACACCTATCAATAACAGCCGTTGGTTTAATGACAGTCCTTGTAATTTAAGTCTCCCTAAAAAACGTCAACCAACACTTTTGGCAATATATTTACCACAACAATTCAAATTATAAATAATATTATTCCATTCAAGATACAAGCTATGAGATACATACAACAGAGTTGCACAACCTATTTTCAACCTGATAGGTTGGAAGCAGATTGGCCCATTCCAAAATGGAAGAGCTCTTCCACTCACAGAAGGCACCAAGATTCAGCAAAGTCTCCCCACTGGAGGAGGAAAAGAGGGGGTGATGAC